TTCCCTGGTGGCTCAGAGGTTAAAGCGTCTGCCTGCAATGTGGGAGACCTGGGTTCGATCCCCGGGTCGGGAAGATCCCGTGGAGAAGGAAATGGCAACCCACTCCAGTATTCTTGCCTGGAGAATCCCATGGACGGAAAAGCCTGTTAGGCTACAGTCCATGGGGTCGCAGAGTTGGACACGACTGAGCAACTTCACTAATTCACTAATGGAAGAAAAAGGTAGTTTTTATTTTTCTTTTTTATATTCATCCTACTGTTTTAAACTTTTTACCATCGTTATTTCTAAATATTTTCATTTACCATTTGTTTGTTTCTCATGTCATTTATGCTGGGTTTATTTTCTCCTTTTTTGATAATACAAGCTTCAACACAAGTATAATCAGAGTTCTGGACAAGCATTATTCACAATCTTAGAGATGAAGTAGCATTGTTTCCTCCATTTCTTCTTCTTACTCCTCTTCTCTTCTTTTCTCCTTTTCCCCCTTACTGTTCCTCCTTCTCCACAGTTGCCAGCATTTCCTACTAGTTTTCTCTATTTTGTTCCTCTTCTTTCTTTTTTACTGCCCTTCTCTTCCCTCCCTTCTCCCTGACTTATGCATTATTTCTCTTTCAAAGATTCTTACATGACTTCAAGAGAGCTTCTCAATAAAAGAGGGAATCAGTGTGATAATATGAACTATTTTTCTCAAAGACTGTTAGTTAAATATTCTTTTTTAACTTTGGAAAAATTCTTTAACAGTTATCGTGCACTCCTAACTATAATCTTTCTTTATAAAAAATGAAATTAACAATTTATAGTAAGCTCTCTGTACATCTTTTCTGAAATAATTTTCAAATTATTGAAATAAATGTAAAATGCCATTTTCAGAATCCTTTTTAGAATGTGTTTCTCTAAGTAGAGAGAGACAAATTGAGTCCCCTGATGATCTTGGCATTCTGCCTTGAGACAATTGCAGACCTAAGTTTCAAGAAAAGTGATACCAGGAAAACCTGATGGTATTCTTCAATTGAAAGGAATAAGATCAATTTCTCTGGTTGTAGGAAAATGGGTTTTATAGGAAATAACAGTGAGGAGCAGCTTTACAAATAAATAACTCTAAGTTTCTGCTTAGAGTTCTGTCTTGATTCTGCTGTTGAGTATTAAGCTATGCATGTGTAGGGTAAAACAAAGTTTCTTCTGCAGTTCTTCTTTTTCATGTTCACTGTCCTCAAGTTTTTCTGCAGTTCTTTTTCATGTTCATTGTCCTCAGGTTCTTTCTGCACTTCTTCTTTTTCACATTCACTGTCCTTCTGTGGTACAGATTGATCCATATTTGTGAGAATTGGAACCTTAAGCGTCAATAAGGGACTTCCCTGGTGGCCCAGTGGCCAAGATTCCACACGCTCAATGTACGGGGCCTGGGTTTGATCCCTGGGCAGGGAATGAGATCTACATGCCACAATTTAGAGTTCACATGCTGCAAGTAAGACCCAGAGCAGCCAAGTAAATAAATAAAATTTTTAAGTGTCAACTAGAAAAATATATCCACAACCTAAATGTTAAGAGTTGTGTTTTATTTGGGTGGAAAGTTCTAGGACTTCAAGCCTGCGAGACAGCATCTCAGGTAATCCTGAGACAACTGCTCCCTAAACTGTCCATTATTTTTAGAACAATTAAAAATAAGAAAAATATTTTTTACTGGAGGTTTTAGAGCATAGGAATGCCATGGTCCCTTTAAAATGTAGCTTTTATCATTCTGGTTACTCTAAGAGAAAAAGGGAGAGACCAGCTGGGAAGAGAAAAAGGGAGAGACCAGCTGGGAGGCTGTTGTTGTAATCTAACTGAAACGTGATAATGGCTTGTTCCAAGGTCATGTTAAATAACACAGAGTTCATTAGATAGGATATCCAGAAAACATTTTTGTTTACTTCAGAGTCTCACAGTTTTTTCATGACAGTTCAAATATTTAGATTTAAAGCTACTGCAAGCTATTTGATAAGACAGTCACATTAAAACACTAAAAACATGACCAGTGATCTACTTGACCTCATAATTCAGTTTGAAATAATCACTTGAAGTAATCACTTTGAAGTCATTGTAGTCCTGGTCATTAGATGACTAGAGATGACTAGAACTGCTTAAAAACAACATTGTTGGTGGTGTAGTTTTTTTAAAATCTAGGGTAATGCACACATGTTAATCAAAATTGATACACTTGTCCACCTTTTTAGTTGGTGTTTCTTTGTTGGCAGATTAAGTCACTTATCAGAGGTTCTTAATGTTCTATTCAAAGGATAGCCACCAAGTTACATACTTGGGTAATTCTACCAAAACTGTATTTCTGAATTCTAGATTTTATTGTCTTTGTAGAATGCAGAAACTTTTAGTAATAACTGTCTGACTTTATATATATATGTGTGTGTGTGTGTGTGTGTGTGTGTGTGTGTGTACTTTTAGTGATCCTGAATAAAAGCATATTCCATTCTACCTTAATTAAAACTTTCCATTCTCTGCAAAACTGGAAACCCTACAGTATCAACTTTTTCTTTTTAGTTCAATATTTATTCAGTTTAAAATACTTTTTTAAACTCTTTTTTGCAAATTTCTAGATGTGCTATCTCTACTCAAAAGTATCTTCCAATGACTCCATGTGTACCCATACCCCAGTTTTATCAACTTTTTGCCATACTTTTAAAAATAATCTGTATTCTTTTCTACTGAAGTATTTTAATCAAATTTTGATAGGTCTTGTCATTTCATCCCTAAATATTTCAGTATTTGTCTTAAACAAAATGAAGTTAAAAATGAATGTTTTCTTTTAAAATAAATATATAATTTATATACTACACAAATGTTCTCCTAAATGGTCTGTATTATCACATCCAACATGATTAACAATTTCTTAATATCTACTGACTAGTCCATATTCAAATTTCCCTAATTGTCTAAAAACATTCTTTATGTATTTTTACAATTAATTTGATCCAGATCTAAAATTGGCCTCCTCACTCACTGGATGTGGTTGTTTTGTATCTTATATCACTCTTAATCAGAAACAGGTGTTCCCCGTCCTCTGTTTGTTTCATGCCTTTGTTTTGTAAAAGAAACCTGGTCAGTTGTCCCATAGAATGAATGGGTTTGTTTAATTTGTCCTTCTGTAGTTCTTGTGGATTAGAAGTTAAATCAAAGCCGTGCCCTTCCTAGCCCAAGAGGGCGAGAATATTTCACAGGTTGTACTCTCTTCTGTAATGAGAAAGCACATAATGTTTGATTGTTGTACTTCTAGTGATGCTAAGATTCTTAGGCTCAGGTGGTGACAATCTTTTTATTGTAGTTTCCTGTCAGTCTTCCCTGTGGGATGCTAAAGCCAGTGATGATTGTTGCCTGATCCAGGTATTTTATTAACAGTTTCAGAATGATCATTTTCTAATTGTGTCACTACCTCTGCATTTATTAATGGATATTAACAGAACTTCTCGTACACTGAGCTATTTGACTAACTTGAAATATGCTTCATATCAGAAATGCAGAGTAAATAAAGGAAAAATCATTAAACATCAATTTTCAGAGTAAAAAGTTGGTACCCTAGCAACCTTCAGTGGTGTCCAATGAATTTTGTTTGTTTGTGTCTTTTTTGAATGTTATTATGAGCTCATGACTTTATGTATTCAGTATGTTTTAATAAATTGCCATCATTATTCCTTATGATCTCACTGTGTATCATCTTTGGCCATTAGTAGCCTCTTCAAGCTGGCTCCTATATCCTTTTGACAAAACCCTATTGGCCTTTGATAGCTTGATTGTTTTTTGGCTCAACAAGATATTCCAGGTTGATCTTACTCATTTCTTGCCTCAGACATAGACTCATCCATTTTTTCTTCTGAGAAAATATTCCTCAGTTATCTTCTTTACTCAGCATCTATCTTGATCTACATACTGTGATGCTGCCAAAACTCACCCTTAAACTTGTTCACTCTATCTAATTGTATAGTTGACTGTGACATAGCCTGCCTTTTCGGTATTTGTTGTCTGTATTAAATCACAAGCCCTTTTCTCTCCTTCTTGTGCCTTGTTCTGAGGCACATGTCTACATTCATCTTAGTATTTCATTCCTTAATACTTCATTATTCTCCCTTGTTCCATATTATTTAACAGATTTATGTCTTTTTTTCAAGAAATTTGTAATTTCCTGGAGGTCAGAACTGCTACATTACTTGGAGATAAAGAGCAAATCTATTAGGAATATAACTGAAAAAAATTGAATTGAATTGAAAGGCTTGTTTTGTTTGGCTCACTTATGGCCATGTTTGCCAACAACTTGATACCAGTAGTGCCAGTGCTACATTTAAATCCAAGCCCAAACTGAATCACTAATCTTTACACCAGAATTTCAAGTACAGGTGGTTTAAAAGTAATCAAATTAAGTATGGAAAAGGAGGCACAAATGTTCTATCCAGAGAATTAAAAAATAAAAACTTGTTCTTTGGTTCTAGAATATAGTTTTATGGTACATTCAAGAAAACACTTTCAGATGATCATGACTTTTGGTACCTGGCCTCAATTCCTACTTGGCTTAGCTTCATTATCGGTGGCCCAAAACTTGGCTGTAAGTAGGAGAGTTGGAAGAAAGACTGGCTGCCTGGCAAAATGACTTGAATAGCTCTTGATCTTATTTGTCATTTTATCAGCTATTTTTTGTACTGCTAAATGGGTGGGCTTTTTATGGTTTTCATAGAAGAATGAAAACCAGAAAAGCCAGACTATTTACAACACTTAAAAATGTGACACTAGACCTTTTGTGGCACTGAAGCTACTTGTCATGTGATGAGACTCTATGTTAATTTGTTTTATGATTAGAGTAAGAAATAGCTGAAGTGACGTGTCCTATCTGTTTACTCTCTTCTTTCTTTTCTCTTACCCCCAAAGAAAAGGCTGTAGATTCTTCAAGGAAGAATAAAAAGATTAATTTGAGAATAAATTTGTGTTCATGATAAGACATTTCCTGGGTTTGCTTATAGGTCCTGTTATTGCCTTGGAGTTCAATGGAGATGGCGCTGTAGAAGGATGTCAACTTATTGTCAACGAGACATTCAGGGGGACCAAGGTACAAAATACTATTGATTATATTTCAATCGAACCTTTCATTTCCTTCTCTTTTCATTTCAATTAAATAGTACTTTTAGCACATCATGATTTTTAGAACTTTTGGTAAACAATTGGGAACTAAGCTTTGGTTTTTCCTTACCAGACTGAAATTTTAGTAGCTTAAAAATTTACAAAATAAGTGTCTACATGTTAAAAATCTCAATCATACATGTTTCTAAAGTCAAATGTCTCACCAAATGTCTCTTCAAGTTCTTCCTTTTTTAAAAACAGTGATATGTTGGGACCTCCCTGGTGGTCCAATGGTTAAGAATCTGTGCTCCCAGTGTAGGCAGCATAGGTTTCATCCCTGGTCAGGGAACTAAGACCTCACAAGCCGCACAGTGTGGCAAATAAATAAAAATAGTGATATGCTGAAAATGTTACATTTCTCAGATTGTATACTTTAAATGGACAAGCCTATTGCCCAGTGTTCACTTTTATTTGCTTCAGTAATACTTCATCAAAACTTGAGCTTTATCTAGAAATCATTACATGTAGGTGTTTTCTAGATGTGATTGATGAGTCTAAGAATTTCAAATTTTAACTTAATATAGCTTAGAAACCAAACGTATAAGAGGATTAAATGAGTATATATAATTTTTTATATAAATATCTGAGAGGAAACGTTTGGTTTTGTAGTCTGATTTAGCTTATGGGCCTTTGAATTTGCATAATTTAAAGTACTTTGTCTTTTGTCTCATTTGATCATTGCAACAAGTACTAAGGGAGAGGGCAAATATAATCAGATTGAATAGAAAAGGAAACAGAGAGAAAATGTTTATATGATTTGGAGCATTTAGATCTGAATGAGTTAAAGATTATCTAATCCAACTTTCTCATTTTACAGATGTGGAAATGGAGCCCAGAGAGGTTGATTAAATTGTCAGCCTCATTCAGCTAGTTATATAAAGATAAATGGAACTCAGGTCTCCTCTGATTTCTGACAGACATTTATAAAAGCTGTTTTTGAAGGGTTCTATTGAGTACTGCTTTGTTGATGTTTGGAAAATAGTTAATTTAAAATTAGTAAAGTATCTTTACCAGCTTTGAAAAAAATAATCTCAAGTTTTGCTTCTTGGTCTATTGAGATTCTTATCAGAAAATAGAAGAAATTAAGAGTTCTTTACCTAAATCTCTTTATTCAGTAGCTTTCATAATATTGGTTTACATATTTTAAAAACTGAAATTCCAAGAGCAGTAAAATACAACCAAAGTATTATAAAGCAAAGACTAATTATATCATAAATGCTTTTAAAAGAGCTCCATTTACATCATAGCTAATTGAAACTATACTGCATGAATTCTACAGAAAATTCAGATTAAATATTAAATGATGTACTTGAATTTCTTTTAAATAGCAAGCTTTTGACTGTTTTGTGTAGGATGTGGGCTTTGGAATTTGGGGATTACTAATATGTTATTTTTTCTATTACATTTAATGTAGATATTTGTATCAGAAAGCAAGGAGACGGCACCTGGAGATGTAGACAGCTTCTACAATTTTGCTGATATACAGATGGGAATATGAAGTGCAATGCGGAACCAAGGACTTTGTATTAAGCCCTTTTCAATTTGTGTGTTAGCAATGGCTTTTTTTTTTTAAAACTGATGCTTAAATTGTTAAAGTCATTTTTAAAATAAATCGTTGAATACTGCATCATTTATGTGAGGTTTGAAAAGAGTTCGTTTTAAATTAAGTAGTTTTAATCAGCTTAAAAACCATTTAACCCAGTTTGATGAGCTTGTAGGTTTTCTCTGCATATGATACTGTTATTAGAAAACAGAAGTGACTAGCAGTTCATTGTTTTAATCCTAATTAAATGTTCTTTCAAATCTCTAATTTACACTTTACTCAGTACTCTATAATACTTATTTGAGAATATTTTCCATTTTCTTTTTTAATTTAGAAGGATTCCTTACTAGCTGATCAGTTAAAATGAACCTGTGTACGTTTTTCATGTATACATATCCAGTTAAATATTTGCTTCCTAGTTCCATAATATGGAAAAAGAGATTTTATATACAGAGTTGACTTAATACTTTGTAAATTAAATTTTTTAATTAATGAGGTACTTGATAACCAGTTTTGCAAGTAACTCATGTTGGCATAACTGTTTAAAGACTAGATGACTCTCCTGCTTCCTGGTAGGAAAAGGTATATGGAATACTTAAACTATAGAGCCCAATCACCAGCAGTTCACAAAGGTGAGTACTGTTTTATCAACTCTTATGAGCTATTAGAATTAAAACAAAACCTTGCAGCATTTTTAGGTAAGAAATACTTAAACATCTTGATAAGCTATGCAGATAGTTAAGAAGCTAGATAAATTCCTATCAATCAATGTTCAAGTCTGATAAAAATTATTTTGGTTGCTTTAAAGCATTATTTTCCAAATCAACTTGAACATAATAATTTACCAGGGGACAGGAGGGAGCTACTTGTTTAAAAATCCACATTCTTGGACCAATTGGGTGCATTGATTCAGTGCCCACGGAAAACTAATTTAAGAGGGTTGTTGTAACGGAAAGTAATCAGAAGATTTTGATAGGCTGATCTTGTGAGAAGGGACTGAACCTGCCATCTACATCACGTGCTGTGTGCTTAGTCACTTGGTCGTGTCCGACTCTTGCAACCCCATAGACTATATAGCCTGCCAGGTTCCTCCATCCGTTGGATTTCCCAAGCAGGGATACTGGAGTGGGTTGCCATTTTCTTCTCCATACAGAGTAGCTAATTGGAAATTAGCTTTCATAGGTCTATTTTTAAATTTAATTCTATTTTGATAAAACTAAGACTGAAAAAAATCACTTGTAAAAATTCCTCTTACTGTTGTTACTAACAATTTATTTTCATGTTTAAACTCTTTGCAGATATTTTCAGATTCGTTTACAACTACTGTATTGTATGTCCAATGTTCAGAAATAATACATTAAAAGACTTTTCACTTTAAACTAATAAGTAATGTTGACCACCTACCCTGTGCCTCACCTTATATTAGCATCATATCATTTCAGTCTTTTTATAAGAGCATTCTATACTACATAACCTCTCATTAAAATCAAAGTGATTTTATAAGATGCAAATAAAAATCAGTGATGGGTTTAATATAATTTTGATCATAATTTACAAATGAGCTTTGCCAAATAGTGGTCAGAGGGCATTAATTTTTCTCATAGGTAAGCTAAATTAAGCATATTCTTTCTGATCTTAATTATATTATTAAATCTAATTATTCACAGTTTTAAAAATCATAATACTTTTTGTCTTCTAAAAATATAGTACAATGTTATGCAATGCTGTAGACTGAGTTCTTTATCTATGGTATTTTAGCAAAAACTCAGGAATATTACATATAAGGGAGATGTTAATTTAAAAATTTCCACTAAATTTAGTGTCTATTAACCAAAGCCTAAAATTTTATACTCTTCAGTTAGGTAAGAGCTTTTACCCAAATTTAATTTGTCTTTTAGGACAGTTCTTGCTTCTGAATGTTTGAAAAGATTTTTAAAAATAAGTAGTGCTATGGTTGTTGTTTCTATCACTTTAAACCTTGATTATAATTAGTATTATACATTTTATTTCTGAATAGCTTTTGAAGTCATGCAAATGTATTAGCATTGAAAACTTAGTAATTTTATTAAGTTATAGATGTTTAGACATTATATTAGCTTATTTCTCTTGTGTCAATAGTACTGCTTTTTACTTCTATATATTTATGTCTAGCTTTTGTATGTAATTTATCTAGTGTTTATAAAATGTGATTTGTAATAAATATTGTCAAAATGAAAATGATTTAACACTAATTTTTGAAGAGCACTTGTATAGTATAAATTTATTCATATGTGTACCAAAATTTGATCATGACACAACTTTTTTAATGATAAAAGTAAAATACAGAGGTCTAATCTGTCTTATATTAATGAGAAATGAACTGTATGCCATGTTGTGTGTACAAAGCTCTCTGGAGAAATGCAGAGGAAGTAGAAAACCTATTTTAATCCGAGGAATTTCCAGTATCATGTTTCCTTTGTTAAAAGATACACTTTGTTATGATTGAATACTTACTAAGATTAGGCATGTTTTTCTTCCATATTTGAGAAAATAGCAAATTGTGACATACTTTCAGATTTATTCAAGTAGACCTTATTTTTAAATTACTACCAAATTTACCAGCCTTTCCATCTAGCTTCTCCCTCTCCTAGCCCATAAATCAGAGAAACTTCAGATTAGTGAGTTTTTAAAATAACATTTATTATTATTATTTCCATGTATAAAGCTTCTACATGTACATTTAGAGCATTTGGGGAAAAAAACAGAACTGCACAAGACAGAAGCAAAAATTACTTCCTGCTTATTGGATAATTCTTGCCGTGCTGAGTTTAAACATTTTTTTCTCATTTTTAACTCTGTTTTCCATAGGAAGAGAAGATATTATAATTAGGGTATGATTCTCCTTCAAAATCCATTCTAGAAAATATTTTATCCTTTAAAAGTATAATCTTAAAAAATCAAATTTCATTTTAATTTTAGTAATGAAAACTTTTTTTGTGAAAATGGTTTTGGGTTTTTTTTTTTGGTAGAGTGTTTGAGGAGGGGGGCAATCAGTCCCACTCAGCTGGGGAGGCAGTAAACCTTTACTTCATTTCTCTCCCTTGACATTTTGGCTTTTAGTGGCAAACTCCAGCAAGATGTTCAGAAACAGTGGTTTGTTTTTTTTTTTCCTTTTCTAGTATTTTGGTGTTTTCCTGATCAGGGCAGGCTCTCACTTATGAATAAATGTTGAAGAAGCAGGCGCACAGGTAGCAGATAGCCCCCAGCATCCTCCTCTCTGCTCTGCTCCTCCCTCTGGGGCCTCCCTTCTCCATTTCAGCTGAATCTGTCCACTAGTAACTGGACCAATGAAAAGTAACTTGCAAGTGGTGTGACAAGTAATTGATGTTTGTTAAGTGCCTTGAAATGGTGCTTTATGGATGTTAAGTATTACTGTGCTGAACTAAGTGAATATGGTTCTCTTTTAAAGTAGTTTAGTTGTGAAGGTATATACCCACCTACAAATAGACAACTGAGTAAGAGAAAACACATGTAAGAGGCTATTAGGACTTAAGTACCATTTTCTTATTGATTGATGTAGTTTCATTTGTCAATTGTAGGTCAATTTGTTAGGCTCATTAATAGAACCTCTTATACTATTTCACTGTAACTTCTAAACTGAGCAAATATTAAGTGTTTTTAAAATTGATCTTGGGACTTCCCTGGCAGTCCAGTGGTTAAGACTCCGTGCTTCCACTGCAGGGGACACGGGTTCCATCCCTGGTGAGGGAACTAAGATCCCATGTGCCATGTGGTGTGGTCAAAAATAATAAATAATTATCTCATTTAGGACTGTGAAGTGTCTGGGCATTTTCAATCTCATTTTACAGATGAGAAAATTGAGGCTCAGAAAGTTTAGACGGACTGTTCAACTCAAACCATAATCACTGAACTACAATGTAGACCTCTTGACTTTCCCCTTGCAATCACTCAGAGAAGAGGGCTCAGCTCATCAGGCTCTTTCTATACGAAGCCTTTTCAAACTCACAAAAGTATAGTTGCTCTTTGGTGCTCACACAGTACTCTGTATAGATTTCCTATAACACTTTATTCTGTTTCTTTATCCATGCCTCCCTTCCTACTCAAAGTGTGGCCTGTGAATCATCAGCATCAGTATCACCTAGAGCTTGTTAGAATATCAGGCCCCACTCCAGATCTGTTGAATAATCTGGTCAATTGAAAAAAAAAAGGTACAACCTAAAAGTTCCAAGTCATGTTTTATTCAGACTTGAATCCTAAAAGATACATGCACCCCCTATGTTCATAACAGCACTATTCACAATAGCCAAGACATAGAAACAACCTAAATGTCCACTGATGGATGGATAAACAGGATGTGGTACATATATACAATGGACTATTAACCATAAAAAAGAATGAAATACTGCCATTTGCAGCAACATGGATGCAACTGGAGATTATCATACTAAGTGAAATAAGTCAGAGAAAGGCAAATACTATATGGTATTACTTACATGTGAAATCTAAAATATTACACAAATGAACCTATCTATGGAACAGAAACAGACTCATAGAGACTTGTAGTTGCCAAGGAGGAGGGGGTTGAGGGAGGAATGGAGTGGGAGGTTGGGTTAGTAGATGTAACCTATTATATATGGAATGGATGGACAACAAGGTCCTATTGTATAGCACAGGGAACTATATTCAGTATCCTATGATAAACCATAGTGGAAAAGAATATTTTAAAAAGAGTATGTGTGTGTGTGTGTGTGTGTGTGTGTGTTGTTCAGAGACCTTACTGAGGACTATAGCCTGGGAGACAGCCTCTCAGCTCTGAGGAACTGCTCCAAAGAGGTCAGGGAGAAGTCAGGACATATAGATAGGAGTTTTTGTTCAAAAAACAAACATGTAGTCAAACATCAAAAGATTACTGCTAATCACTAAAAGTAGATATCCCAGGTTAATGATTTTATTAATAGCACTTTTCTATGTATGGAAAGATGCAAAAGTCTGGGCTCATTGAAATCAGTCCTTAGATAAACATCTCAAGTATCTAGGATCAGTGTCCTGTTTTCCTCCATCCTGAATTCCCCCAGGGCACACCTTCGTGCTAGGGGTGGGAGGGCAGCTGCAGTGACTGCTGGCTTGAAGATGAGCAATATTCTTTGTTTACTGAAGTGGCAGGCAACATTTTTTTTTATCTGCAAGCTTCTATTAATATCTTTTAACGAGGTACTCAGGGGATTTAGGCTTCTCTGTGACTCAGATGGTAAAGAATCTGCCAGCAATGCAGGAGACCCGGGTTCAATCCCTGGGTCGAGATGACACCCTGGAGAAGGGAATGGCTACCCACTTCAGTATTCTTGCCTGGAGAATTCCATGGACAGAGGAGCCTGGTAGGCTACTATCTAGGGAGTCACAGAGTCGAACACAACTAAACGACTAACATACTTCATACACACCTTAAAGTTGGAGAAGCTTTGTCCTAGACTATTAGCTCCTCAAGCACTAAAATCAAGGCTTCGAAAACTTTGTATTCATAGAGTAGCTTAGGGTCCAGTGAAAGTCGCTCAATTGTGTCTGACTCTTTGCGACCCCATGGACTATACAGCCCATGGCATTCTCCAGGCCAGAATACTGAAGTGGGTAACCTTTCCCTTCTCCAGGGGATCTTCTCAACCCAGGAATCAAACCCAGGTCTCCCACATTGCAGGCAGATTCTTTACCAGCTGAGCCACAAGGGAAGCCCATAGGGTCCAGTAATGTGATCATTACATTTAATAAATGTTTCTGACTAAATGAAATAATCCAGTGCTTCATTCTATTAATACTCTTATCAGATCTTAGTCTTTCCTATAATTCCTCTCTTCACATACTCTCCTTGATTGGCTTTGGAATAAAAACATTCTACAATATTTAGTCCCTGCCCCCATGTTTTGTGTTGAAATAGTAACCAGGGTCTCTGCCCACTAAGGCTCCTAGGGAGCTTTAAGAACATCAGTGGTATGCATTGTAAACAGATAAGAGCACAGCAGTTTCTGACTTAACTTTTCATCTGATGTTCATATTCAGGTTTTATTTAATGAGGAAAGTCAAGTCAAAGTCACTTAGTCGTGTCTGACTCTTTGCTGCCCCATGGACTATACAGTCCATGGAATTCTCCAGGCCAGAATACTGGAGTGGGTAGCCTTTTCCTTCTCCAGGGGATCTTCACAACCCAGGGATTGAACCCAGGTCTCCTGCATTGCAGGTGGATTCTTTACCAGCTGAGCCACCAGGGAAGCCCACTTAATGAGGAAACGTGTTGCATAAACCCGAGTGGTGCACTGTTGATTCTGGGGCTGAGTTAAACGGCAGTCAGCTTTGGGCTTGTGGGGAAAGTCACTTAGTCCTTCTCAGATGTTATTCTCCCTCTTTATCTCTTTACATCTCCCCACCTCGAGAGAGCTTAGGGATGAGAGTGGCATCATCATCAACAGAACACGTGCAGGATTGTCCAGGGAAGTGGGGGAGGAGAATAGTAACTCTGAGCTTCCTTTCCCTAAAGACCAGCATTATCATAGCGAGTAAGTGATAGAGCTAAGGTTTAAATGGCTGTGTCTTAACCATTATTACAAAGAGAGGGGCCTATCAAAATTACTTGTGGGTATTTTTCAAAATACATATGGCCCTTCAGGCAGTTATAAAGTCTAAACAAGGTGACTGTGTAAAGCATTAAAGGTGGGGGAAGAAGATCTAAGATGGGCAGAGAAACAGCATTCACATAGCAAAAACCAAAGATCCATATTGATGTACTGTGGACAAAAAAATGTGGATTGCCATCTCAGTAAACAACAATGTTGCCCACCATTAAGCCGTCAGGCACTGCAGCTCCCAACCCCCACCCCAAGGTGACCCTCAGAGAAATTCAGATGGAGAAAAACAGGATACTGGCCCTAGAGAGTTAAGATGCCTATCAAAGGAACAAATTCAATGATCAATGCATCTTCCCATACACAGAAAAGTGCTAAAATCGTTAACTGGAGATAACTGGATTTTTTTGTGATTAGCAAAATTGCAGTAATTAGCAATTAGCAAGATTGCAGTAATCTTTCGATGTTCAACTACTTTTTTTTGCAAAAGCTCCTATATATCCTGGCCCCTCCCCCACCTCTTTAGAACAGTTCCTTACAGCTATCTGAGTGGCTGGCTCCTCGGCTATAGGCCTCTCTCAGTAAGGTTCTGAAATAAAACATAAC